TTGCCTATGCATGATGTCAACAATGTGGGCCGAAGGTTGTGGAGCGTTATATCCCTTCCAGGTTTTGGAATAAGAAATATGTTGGCCTCCTTCCATTGGCTAGGGATTTCTCCCCCTGCCCAGACCTTTTCGTTAAAGTATTGGGTAATTTTTCTAAGTTGCTTATCGCTCATATTTCTCAACAGGCATTAGTTATTCCGTCCTCTCCCGGAGCCGAATGCCTTTTACGTGACAGTGCAGCCATGAAGATCTCTTGCTCACTTATTGAGGAATCTAGGTCCTGATTTTCTAAACGCTTGTATTCTAGATTCTGTATACTTTCGCCACCGCTGCCAATGTATTTCTCTCGAAGAATTTGCGGCAAAGCAGCGTCATCCCCTTTGAATTCTCTCGCTAAAGCTTGCAATGTTCTAGTTGTAGTAGTTTTCGTGTTCATGGGGTCTAGCATAGTGTTCAATACTGCCCGCGTTTTAGTTGTAGAGAGCGTTACCCTCACGGAATCACAGAAGGTGACCCAATTACTAGCCTCAAGCTCTCGGGCATATTCATTAGCTTTTACGGACAATTCTGCGATTCTGGCTTTCAGCTTTCTATTCAATCTCTGCCTTTTCCACCTTTTGATGATGCTGCGCTGGCCTTCCCGCAAGTACGTGAGGGAGGGGGGGGGGGGCCCACTGCTGGAGTTTATTCGTTCATTTTGATGTGCTTGGTATGTAAGCTAAGCGCCTTCCTCGTATCGTCCACCCAGTCGTCTAATATTTCTAGCGGCTGCTGTGTCGCCGAATACTGCCTGTAGGCCTCCCAATTGGTTATTTTAGCAATCCTATATGACCTTTTGAGCCTCGGAGTAGACGTAGAAAAACTGAATATGAACTGATCACTCCCCATATTCTCATCAATCGTTTTTGACGATCCGCTTTCAATATTGTACGTGAATGTTAGATCTGGATATGTGTCCTTGAAAACACTATTTCCTAGTCTAGTGGCCGCCTGTGGCATGGTCTCTAGCTGCATCTCGTATTTCTCTACTGCCTGCAATAAATCTGCTCCTTTCCTGGTATTTTTCCGGTATCCCCAACAAGTATGGGGAGCATTGAAGTCACCTTCGAAGACTAGTCTGTCTTTATGTCCCACGTGCTCAAAAGCCCGCTCGAGCATATCGAGAAAGTTGACGTGACGCTCTCTTGGAGGGCTGTAAATATAAAGGATAAACGCTTTCGATTCACCCCGTTTGGTGGTACGGAGCTCAATCAGTTGGGGCTCCGTTGGGCTCTCAGATTGGTGGTATACACTGCTCGCAATACCTTTATGCACCAATGTGGCGATCCTAGAGTATTTTAAATTCTGGATGGTGTGATAATCTCGTCATTTTATAACTCCCTTGCCAATTTCCTGCATATATATCACGCCAGGTTGTGTAACTGCAGCGTCCATGTATGATTTCAGCGCCGCCGCTCACTTTTGGAACGAGCGGCAGTTTCAATGCCATATCTCAACGAAGTCAGTGGTGCGAGTTGTATTACTGGCCATGGCTAATCACACTCTCGATATCTTTAGAGTCAGGCGATGCCCGATTTTTAATTTTACTTGCCATGGGAGCATATCTGGATCACTGCAAGCTCTTATACGCGAGCTTTGCTGTTTATTCAATTGCACACGCACAAAAGCCTAGTGGCTCGAAGCTCCACATACAATTGTTACTGAAAGTTTTGCAGACCATGCATCTGTTGCACCAGTTGGCTTATCGTTTTTCCAATACTTTCTGACGTGATGGGCTGAGTCGAGGGTTTATCTGCGTGGTTAGTTTTGACTAATGCGCCCATGGAGTTTTGTAATTCCATCCTGAGAGCTGCTACTTCCAATTTGATTTCGCCCAACGACTGATTTAAATATCAGTTTTCGAAAAGTATTCTCTGATACTCAGGGTGGGATGTTACTGGGGTCGCCCCTCACGCCGTCTCCGCCGCCCTGCTCACCTGCTGCTGGGTCGAGCTCCCGGCCACTCCAGGCGTCCTGGTTGGGGTAGGGGATCGGGATTGAGGACAGCAGGTAGGTTGCGACTCAGGGGCTCCTAATTCATGATGTTTCTTCCTTTTCTCCCGTGATCGTGCTTGTGCCTTGTTCTTTCGGCTGGGCCTGTCTAGATTCCAACCTGTGGCCATTCTTCATAATCGTCAGTGTCTTGCGATGCATACCACCTCGGTTTTGGCGGCGATGGTAAAGCTCCGTTAGTTGCGTTTTTGTCTGTCGTCCGGTCTAGCACCTTAGGATGCTGCTGCCTTACTGGCTGCTTGAAGCGCTGTTTTCATTCTTTTGTTCCAGTCAAATGTCCCTCTTCACACGAGGAACATACAGGGTCGCAAGGGTGGTCCGGTTGAGGCTCCTTCAAACCACAGTTGGGACAAATGGCAATGGTGGGCGTTGGGCAAACGTCTGTTCTCTGTCCCGTTTGCTTGCAGACATAGCAGAATTGTATAGCATTCTTGAATGAAAAACAGGGGACCTCACCGCCAATATAGTACATAAATATTAGTGTTATGGGGCCAAAAAAACGTGATCACTGCTGTCTTTTTTTCACCAAGCATTCTGGCTCTTAGGATCTCGACTTCTTGTGTCCGTATGCGTAGATTTGCCAGGAGGGTTTTTGGGCTTTTGTTGGCAGTCAGACCATGTATGACTCCTTTTCGTGTGCCGTCTCCCACTGCTGCATAGGCATTGACAGCATGCAATCTTCCGTTGAGAGTGAGGCTTGTGATTTTTATGGTGGCATCGGCCACGTCCTGGTTGGGAGTGGAGATGATGAATATGTTGAATCCTGGCTTCAGCCGGGGCAAAATATGCTGCCGCTTATTGTACCTTGACACGCCTTCACAACTGCTTCTGCCATTGGCGTTAGTTCTCTAATAGGTAGTCCTTGGGATGATCTTACAATGATTTTGAAGTCTTCCTTGGAGAGTGGTGATAGCTTCCGCTTCTGTGGTCTTTTTTGCGATGTAGGTTGCGAAAGTGACTTAGATGTAGGACTCAAGAAGTCATAGTCTCTCTCTGTTATCGTGAGTTTCTTTCGCGCTTTCGCGAGAGCTTTCTTTTGACGAACGGTAAAGACCGTCTGCCAGCCTCCATCATCGTCGCCTTCCTTGCCTCCAGGTGTACCGCCGGTCTCTTCGTTGTCTTGGTGGGTGACGCCATCACTCGCAACGCCCTCCTGGCATTCCATTTCAGCCTGGACCAAGGCCGACGTATCTTGCTGTGCCTTATCGTCTGTCTTAGGACGTATTGTCTTTTTAAGCGGTATCTTCGTCGCTTTCAACCGGGCATGAGACACCGCAGGTGCTCTCGTAAGAGCCAACAAAGTTTTCGCCATCGAACGCTACCGCGCCGTCAACGCTTGGCGCGTCTCAGGCGTAGGCGTCTCGCCGCTGCTGCGTTGCTCACGCGGTCATAGTGGGCATGTCGTCGACAGAAAATAGATGTGAAGAGGCTGCTCACCGAGATACGTTCGTCATCCACGGGTAGCCCTGATGTTCCTGAGCACAGTGTGACAGTGCAGTCAAGGTAAGTCACAACGAAATCACATAAAATTAGCAAAAATCGTGGGGCACATGTGAGCAGTGCTTCACTCGTCGGTGCCACGCTTTCTCGAAAAATTCACTTCCTTTGAGGGTGCAATCATTTCGTGGGCAGCGGTTATGCGAAAAAATTTGAGTTCCCATTCTCAAATATTACGCAGGTTCTCCGTAAATAACCGAGAAATGCAGCAAATAATTGCGCAAATTTGCATAAAAAGCACACGTTCACCTTTATTTGCATCAAATGCTTCACGTATGACACGACACATACGCAGGTGCGAAAAAAAACAGACGAGATACAGGCACATAAAACGCCTCTTGTATACGCTATATCGAAGCAATTTTATTTAAAACCAAAATATGCCGGAAAAAAACCTTTTGATTGACAGAGTTGGATTCCGGGTAGTTCAAAGTCTCGCGAAAATTGTAGTGCACAGAGGCGTGTTGTTTTATGCAGCCGAGCGCCATCATCTTGAAATGCAAGAATAGTTCAAGCATTTACCTTTTCCTTCAAGCCCTTCTCACAGGAAATGGCTGAGTCTGGAAGCAAAATTAGAAATACCAGTGATAAAGGCAATTCCGAAAAATAGCCATGACTGAAGCCTTTGTTTGTTTTTCGCTGCAGTGATTAGTGCTCCTTGGCTTCCGGCACAGCGCTCGCACGGCGTTCGCTTGTAGATCAGAGAACAGCAGTTGATGCAGCTTCATTGAGTAACTGCGTGAGAGTTAACAGCGGCGAACAAAGCAAGCGTTTTCACTAATTCGAAACGTGAATCTTGCAGTGGCGTTTGGAGGGTCGAATGCAACTTTTTATTGTCAAGTGGAGTGGCAAAAAGAAAGCGTTATCGGGAGGCTCAGACGAGCCGGTGAAGGCACTGGGCCCAAAAAAAAGAACAACAAAAAGGTCTGGTGACGCAAAAATCAGTGGCCACAATCGGAATCTCAGTGCCGTAAATTTGTACACTCCGTGTCTCAAAGTGAACCGGTGCAGGGGAAGGTGTGCGCGATGTGCCTGTGTCTTAATTTCCTCTTTCGAGGTGCGATAGTCCGTCCTCAAGCGCATACCGAACAGCAATTACCGACATACGTGTGGCTTGGATATTATGTTCATGGTTAAACGCTGCATGGCAAAGTGCCACTCCGTTTTTTTTAAGGACTGGCAACTTCGGCGAATAACCAGTGACGCCACACTGAACACAACCGCCGTAACGACGCCGATGTGTTTGGGGGGTGTTCGAGACGTGGTAAGGTAACGAAAATCACATTTTGGAAACAAGTTTCAGAGTCTTGTCATGACGCAATTGAATTTGATTAGTGCGAACAAGCCTTGTTTAACTTCTGTCATTTCTGCTCGCCCAGCAGTGCTTGTGATAATAGTTTTACACCATCAATACCAGAAAAAAAAGGTTTACGTTATTTAAGAATTCTTACCTTCCTTTTGAGCAGGTTCTCCACAGGGAACTCAATCCATTCGACATCTTCTTCCACGGTCAGTTGACCATCGAGTGGGCAACTATGCTGGTCATCATGGCGGCACTGCTCGTAGCAGTTCCTGCAGAAAACGTGCAGGCAAGGCAGAAAAGCGGTCACTCTGGTTACGAGGCCACACGCTTTACATATTCTGTTTGGTGGAATAGGCTCCACGAAGGCCAACTGTCTCCAGTCCAACTCGTCGGAAAAACCAACCAAGGTGTACCAATGTCTCGCAGTAGCCATGGTGAAAGCAGCAGCCACCTGGTATCTCAGTCGAGGTGACTCGGACCACTGAAACCTCGGGACGCTGTCAACAGCCTTTCGTAGCGGACGTTTCCATGACAACTATCGCCCTGATATCGCTTCCGGGCGTTCTTCTGCCACGGGATATCGCACGCTCCCCCTATGAAAAGAAAAAGAACGCATGCCCTGAGCGGGCTGATAACTCATCAGTCCAACTGCTAATAGTGTGAAGCAATTCGTAGAGCTGAGACGTCCGCACTACGCCACCGATCGCCAAAGAGAGGGAAGAACACTCAACCCTTTTTCTATCCAGTTCCCTCTTGGCTACGTGTCTCAATCACTTTTCACATACAGGGATTCGTGCTGGGGCCAGGAAGTAAGAGTCGCTATGACCTGTTTCTCTTTACTGATTCATTTAATTTAATAGCAAGTGCAAATGGCGTACACACATACTGTCCGTAAACGACATCTCTGGTACACGAAATTGTAACACATCAGCAAATACTCGCGACACGCATAACAGGATACATAAGTTAAGTAACGGTGACAGAATACAGAATAATACAGAATAAACACACGACGACACAAATGATAAAGTTATCAATGAATAAAACCACGCAATGTCTCAACAGGCCACCTCCCTTCCCGCAAAGCTAATCTAAATAGGGTGCATAAAGTTCGTCTCACGAATGGTCCGTCTTGTCAGTCTTCATCGTCTTCGTCGTCTTCGTTGTCTCTCTCGGCGATTTCTATCTTAATCTTCTTTCATAACGTCCCGCAATCACTCGCTTCCTCGTTTCTCATCTCTAACTTTCATTCCTCGTCATATCATCTCTGCCTCAGTCATAATCTTATCGATTCTCATTGCTATCTCTTCGCACCGTTATCTTTCTTTTCCATTCCGTCTTTCTACGATCTCTATCTCAACTCTCCGTCTATCTCCGACTCTTCACATCGTATCCCGGACTCTCAAGCTCGTCTCGTAGTCCCCTTTTTGTAGGACCCGACTTCGCCCTACCGGGGCACCAAACCAGTCCACCACTCCACGCGGCATATCTTTTCTTCTCAGTCCGAGTGCATCCTCTTCGGCGGCCGCCCCCGCTGCCTACACCAGTAGAAAACCCTCTCCCAAACAAAGCCGAGCAAGTAACGATGAACAAACTCAAGCCTCAGGGAGAGTGATGGGCGAGCCGTCCGAAGACACTTTAATTACGGGCGAACAATGGTCCCGATGCTTTCGGCACTTGGCGAGCCGATGTCTAGACCAAGTCTCAACGTTTTCATGCAGCTCGGTGTCTCCCGCCAAATTCTCCGTAGCCGCCGCTTCTTCGTCGTTCACCGCCGCGGGCGGCCATCCGCGCAGAACGCAGTAATAAGCCCTGGAGCCACGGAGGTTGACGGAAAGGCACACTGGACCCGGCACAGGCGCTCGCCGCAAAGGTCGCATTCTCCGAACCAACAAAAGGTGTTCTGCTGCTCCCCCATGCCACAGATCTGAAGGGTGCGCGTCGATTATCTCCATCGTACATTGTCAGACTGTCTGTAGACGACAAGGCGCCGCCCGATCCTCGTGTTTGCGCGGGGGAGCCCGCGAGAATAGTAGAATTAATCCTTCTAGTACTTAACTCCGGAATGCCCTTTATGCGTGGGTTTGAGAAACGAGCGCACACATCTCGAAAGGAGCGGGGTTCAGTCCGTGTTTGCGGGGACGTCACAGAGCCGTGAAACGGTGCTTGCTTTGGCAATGCTGATGCCGAAAGCGCGTGGAACCTGGTGACTTTCGCAGTGAATAGAACTTATTTCTTGTGACTAGTGTTGTCTTAAAGTAATGTATGAAAAGGTAAGAGAGGACACTCCCATAAGCTCTTCCGGCTGATTTGAGTTCGCAGTGCTCCAAACAATTGCTGGCTTTCTTCGCAGCATTATAGATTGTAGCCCGCAGAAAAGAATGTCTCGAAGGCTACTTTTCTGCGACTAGGAATAATTTATATAGCCTCCAAGACCATATATATGTGCACGCTTGTCTCAGAAGCAATATTTATTTTTTTTAACTAGTCGTCTGCATGCATCGATTACCTTCGTGTACGCTGCACCCCCCCTAGCGGCAAACACAGGATGCCACTGTGTGTCTATGCCCGCATTTTGAATAAAACATGAGAATTGTTGGAGGTGAGAGAACTTTAATTTTCAAGTGATCTTCTTCGCAAGCACCTGCCAACTTTGTTAATGTTTGCTGAACGCGGGCTCGAAGAGAGATGTTCTTTGCACAACGAGACGCGGAAAAACAGCTGTCAAGTGAGATTATAAGCTGCACATAAGAAATAAACACATAGGAAACATCATAGGAAGTGCACAGAAGAGGGAAACTGCATTACACGCACACAACTACACATACTGCACAACGCGATACGGCAGTGGTTTCCACAGCACTTTACGCTAGTTTGAACAAAAAATTAATAAACAATGTTGGCTACGTTTGCTTTTTCACGACCACAAAAATGTTCTCCTACGCACTTCACATCGTTCTTTTGCCGAAAACAGTCTCAAGCAGCTGCCGCAGCAACAAGAAACATTTTTAGAAGCCATACAAACTGTTAACTATGCAGGAGTGTTTACTTAACAATTACGAGTGAGCTTTAGCTAACAAACATTTTTTTCTGGATTCACCACTTCTCTATTATTGCACTTGTTAGAGCATTAAGCAGTTTCCGAATGCCATAGATAACAATACTAGGCATAACTGCACTTCTCGCAATATCTCACTAATGCAGTGAATTCGAATACGTGTACCGGCACAAACAAAACCTAACAACGCGAGCGGGGACTCATTTTCTTGATCCAAGAATTGATTTTTTCGTAAACGTGCTACGCAGCATTACAAACAGTTGCTTTGTTTCGTGTGAAGCAATTCGCGAAAAAAATGCGCAAAGTTACGAGCACAATGCCGAACAGCACCATGCGAGAATGAACGGACGAGAACCGGCGCATTCAGCATGGTATGGCCGATGGCCAATGCGAGAATCCGTCGGCTTCAGTTCAATACACACATTGCAAGGTATTGATGGCGTTCGTACCTAGCTAAGCTGAGAGGCAGACAAAACAAGTGAGGACCAAAATGCACGCTGGGCCCATTATCCCACGTTTTTATCGCGTTACTCTGCAGCTGTCCGTAATGCTCCATTGCCTTAAATGCTCATGAACACGGACCGTGACAACGTCATGATAAAATACATGGTTTGCGAAACTTGGAACTAAAAGTTTCGGAAACCGATTGCCACAGGCACCAACACGCGCCGATAATCGAAGCGTGATTAGGTGAGGAGGGGGCGAACAACCAAAACTGAAACTCAATATGATTTCTTCTTCAAATAGTCGTAATTTTATATATGTTAAAGTTAACTGTACACTTACTTCAAGACGCATCTCACATTTGGCTAACTCGCTTATAGCCTTAATGTTTTGCCGAGTGCCATAAATGTAGATTTGGGGGATGGGCGGCGCGTCCAGGCCATCTGCTAACAGAGCTTGTGCCTATTTCGGCGTGTTTTTTTTTTACTCGGCGCATCGAAAGAACAACGAGGCATTGTTCACTTTTCCGTGGTAGTTTCATGCGTATCTTCAGTAGTTTACTTAGTTTTTAATGCGATAGCAATTATATGGACACTCTCAGCTAGGTTTTGCTGCTGGCATCGCTGTCCACTCACTCGATATGTATACACATCTACATATATTAAAACGCAAAAATAAAAATAATTGACAAAAAGACTCTGCCGCGTGGTATCGACCGTGGGCCTCTGAAGTGTAAGTGCGAGGCATGAACCACTGAGCCGCGAAGGAGCACAACTCCAACGATCAAACGGCAAGTTCTTTATATTACCACTTACCGCTGGTAAAGGGATGTTTCGGGGGAACTATCGTGTTTTCAGCATTACCAGCAATATGGCGCAACGAGCTCGCGTCTGCGCATCGTCACATGCAGGTGGCGCGCGCTCTCATCTCTCACGCGTATACTTAGCGCCGCGAAGAGGGTACAGGATGGACAATAACGCGCGTGCTCATCTCGCAGTGGGGACAATCGTACGTCTTGGGTGGAGTTGGACCTTAACCGGAACAATTCTGTTGTAGATACCGGGCTCACAAACGTCACTGCAATCGTCGCACAGTTTCCGCTTGCGAAAACGGCGCTTTTCCCAAACACCGTAGTAACATCTGAAACGCTTATTCCTGGCACTTGCTGATTTCATGACATGACACTTGCTGATCGCAACCAAAAGATTGCTGTGACGTCAGCATAGTATGAGCTTGGTATGTTTTCATGTTCTTACATGACAAGCGTGTCAGGATAATCATGTTTGCACCAGTCATATACTTTCGTCGTCCATTGACGTCACGTAACACCAAATTTTGTATATGCGGAGCTAGAATATTGGCCGCGAGTGCATCATGAATGACTCAATTACTCCAATGTAACATTGACGCGCGCGCATACTGGGCACAGCTACGCCATTTTATTAAAACGTGAGCACTCTTTTGTCTGACGCCAGGCGCGACCGGCATGACCAGCGTCCATCGGCACGGCCCGACGGCAACCGGCGCGATAAGCGATGCGTCACTCACCGCATCGCTTATGCGTCATAACCGATGCGTCACTCATACAACACTGCATCTCCCTCTTTTCGTGAAGGAGGGACGCCGTACGTGCTGAAACGCGCTTGCGTCAAATCAACACATCGCGGCGCGCGCCTGCGAGTGAATGGCACGACCGGTCCCTGGCGTGGCAACGCCGGCGAGACGCGACAAAGTGAACGCCGGCGAGCACGCACACCACGTCACGTCGAAACATATTGCGCCTTGACTGTGGCGTGTATTCATGTTCTCACACGACACGCATCACCAGTCACATACGTTCGTCATCCATTTGCGCCAAGTAATACCCAATTTGGCATATGTAAAGCTAGCGAAACGGCCAGCGCATCATGAGTGGGGCGTGTAGTCATAATGTTACTTGACACGCATGTCGTCGTTGTCATGTTT